GTGACGTACACCTGAGCCTTGGGTTAAGAACCCAGATCTGGGGAGGAAGTCAGAGAACGTGTTAGGGGACGGGTGCCAGGCGCAGGTTTCAGGTCTGAGTGTCTTTCTGGACCAGGCTTCAGGACTTTTTTTTTTTTTTCCTGAGGCAGAGTCCCACTGTCCCCCAGGCTGGAGTGCAGGGCACAGTCATAGCTCACTGTAGCCTTGAATTCCTGGGCTCAAGTGATCCTCTTGCTTCAGCCACCCGAGTGGCTAGGACTACAGGGAACATAAAAATCTTGAATGAATGAGCACATTCTGGCTGTGTCAAGCAAGTTAATTTCATCAAATGGACTTAATGTAATTTTGGGGTTTTTTTTTGGTTTTTGTGGGGTTTTTTTTTTTTTTTTTTTTTTGCACTATTTCAAATTTACTTAAACTATACCATGGGGACCAGTACAAAAATCCATGAAGATTAGAGTGCCTGCTCCCAGGAAGTGATAATTTTGGTGTCTAAGCCAAGTCAAGAAAAAAGTAGAATATCAGGAGGCTGTCAGAAAAGGAGACCGCCAAGGAATCAGGGGAAGGGGATTTTGGTGAGATCAAAGAACCAGCACTGTAGAAGCAATGGAGAATGGTGATGAGAGAGCAGTGTGTTAGATTTAAGATTTCAAAAGTGGAGTAGATCTTGGTGATAACATGGTCTGGATTTTGCCATGAGCATTGGGGGACTGAAATGGTACGGAAGTGAATGAAAATTGCTGTGGGCACCAGACTACCATTTTCTGAGAACTGTATGTACCTTTCTTTCCCCGTCTCTTGTCTCTTCCATGGACAGCTAATGCTGCTTCACTCTGCTGCCATTCTCAGGTACTTTTCTCCTCTTGTATCCTTTCCTGATGATCAATTTTAGCTCCTTTCTTTTGGCTTATCTCTCACTAATCGTGTCTTTAGCCCATTTTTTTTCCTGCTTATTCCAATCTTAGATTTTATTTTATAATTCCTTTAGTGAATATTCTTGTCCCTAGAGACCCTCTATGGCTATAGCAGATATTGAAAATTATTCTTGTAGTTCACTATAATATTTACCTTAAAGCAAAATGAATTACAGTGTCCAGGCTGTGTTTGGATGTTAACATGTTGTTAATTTATTATAAAATAAAATGCCCTTTATATTTGAGACAGTGGCATATGAATGAAAATATAACTTTGTTTTTCAGAATTATGGCTAAATAGAGAAATTAACTGATCTATGGGAGATCCCATTCAAGTTAACTGTTATTTATGGCAAGATCCTATTGAGGCCAAGTTCATGAGTAAATTTCTTAAGTGGGACAGTTAATTTTGTTCTGAAACATAGCAAGAAATTGTACCCCTGACCTCAGCTTTCCATCTCACTCTATGGTTAGGTTGCAAAAGGATGGAAGATGGATGATTCAGTTAAAAAAAAAAAAAAAAAAAAAAATCTACCCCCAGTACTAGAAAAGAAACTAAAATTACATTTACTCACAGATGGTGAGTCATCCTCAGTTAGTTTAAATGACAGCATATTATTACCACAGATGTTACTAGAAAAAAAGGCTGTTTATCCTTATAATCAAGCCTTATCCTCAATTATTTTAATCATCTTTTTGGATTGAGTGTTTATAATAAAACGAATCACTTAAAATCTCTAGAGTTTAATTCACAGAATACTGTGGCATCTAAAGTTGATTGAAAATTCAAACTATGTGTTGAATGATATTTTTATTATACCACATGACAGCACATTATAGTCTTTTTGGGTGGTTTACTAATACATACTGATAAAATAATTGTTGGTTATGTAATAATAGCTTTGTACATGAGATTGATTTAAAAGAGTTGATTTCAAATTGGAAACGCTATTTTGGTTAGCTCTCTAAGAAACTGTGGAATAATGTATACTTATTGATTTGTTCTTTTTAAAATATATAAATTAAGCATTAAAAAATTCAAAATCCTTTCTGACTATCTGTGAGTTGTTAAGAGGACCACAGTGCCCCTTACTCATGAGAAATTAGCCAGCTAATGTCAGCTGAAGTAGATGAGCCAGAAGTTTCTGAAGTTTCCCTTGCATTGTAGAACTGAAGCCAAATTTGTAGAAGAATTATTCTTCCAATTTTGGGCAAGTAAACATTAAGATCTGGAAGCCCATGGCATAGTAACTGACTTTCAACCAAATAAAATATTTTTCAATCAAATATTATTTGACATAGCCTTCTAAAATATTTGTGTAATATCCTGTGTGGGAATATATACTCTTTGGATAAATCTGTCTATATAGTTAAACAACTGGGCTGTTCAGGGTAAATAGTATTAATATCATTCTAAACATTCTCTTCTTACTGGTATTCCGTGAAGTCTGGGAAAAGCAATACCAGGTAATTATTTTTTCCGAACCCTCCTGCTTAAACAGAGACTTAAAGAACAGGCACTGAAATCCTGAGTTGCTTATTTCTCCTTTAGGGTTTGGAAGGAAATAAATAAAGTTAGTATGTCCTCTGGGAGCTGAGTTAGAAGCCACAGCTCAAAGCTCTCACTGTCTGTATCCACAGCAGGGTACGATCCTGGCTCCATTTCGCTTACTATGGAGCAATTTGAGTGTCGTGGTGATGGGTCAGAATTCATCCCGTCTGTGCGTGTTCTTGTGCTACGGCCACACCACCTCACGTTTTATTACGTAAAGTTCCAGGTTCCCGCTTTTCTTTGGTTTAGTGAATTACCTATGTCATTTGAGGACAGACAATTTTACCATATCTAGTGTTTGAAAATTGGATCATGCTTTTCAAGGTGAAATAACCAGAAGGTAACTTCTCTTATAGTGTAAATAAGACACCTGATAAATCATAGGAATTAAAAGTGAGAACCAATGTCACACTAAATGATTTTTAAAGCTTTCATTTTATATCCACTTTTTAGAATACTTTCCTGGTTGTCTTGAGTTACATAAAGAGAAACATAGAAAATTACACTAACTGAAATTTCAAGAAATTTTCCGTGGCTTCTTAATACTGACTTGCTTAAAAACTTTCCCCTTTCCCACCCCAAGTGTTTTTCATTTTTCTGTCGGTTCTCTATCCCCAGAGCAGATGCCTGAGTGCCATAGTGGTTGCCCACCTGCTCGTGGTTGGCCCCACCGTGGAGTCCCATAGGAACAACCTCAGCGTGTCTACAGTTCTGTTCTGCCTCCCTACGTACCCGTGCTCCTCATGTATTTCTAGCCAGCACCCTCCCTCTACCTCAAAAGTACTGTTAGACCCTAACTAAGTTCCACGAATTCTGATTATTTCTCAAGTCATTCCTTTCCCTCCATATTGCCACTCTCCCGTGTTGCTTTTCCGCATTTGTTTTGCGGCCTATGATGTCCTAATTGGGGTCCCCACTTCGGCATTCTTCCTCCCGGGGCATCCTTAGCCCTGTTGCCAGAGGTATCTTCGGTGCGCACCCTGCTCTGATCCAACTCACACGGCACTTTGTGGTCTAACTCCTGGCTTAGGTTTTATTCTTTTCCTCCTGTGGAACCCGTGCCCCAACCATGTCAGACTGCTGACAGATCTCCAAATGTACAATATTCTTGCACGTCTGGCCTTTGTACGTGCTGTTTCTGCCTCTTTCCTCCTTTCCTCAAGCTTCGTGTCCCGTCTGTCAGAGGAGCGGATGGTGCTTCAAGTCCCAATACAGGCTACC